TCAGATATCTTCAGAAAATCCTTAAATGCTTACTTATATTTCGTAACGTTGCTATTTGCAAATTGCAATCGTGAGCTTAGAGTTTAAAATCGTTGAATACTCATATATTTGTGAGTGCCATAAAGTTAATAATAATGACAGACACGACCCAATTCAGATATCACTTTGAAGAGACAGTTCAGTCCCTGAAGGGATCCGATCCTCTGTTTCGCTTGATTTTTTCGAGGCTCTTGACATTCGTCGTTGGTGTTTGCATCTTGCATGAATAAATCTTATCCCTCTCTAATGCACTTGTCTTCTTGCATAAATCACAATCAAACTCAAACTCATCCGCATTATTTTTCATTCTTTTGCGTATTTGATAGCCGAAAATTATTTCATTTGCGATTTTGCGGTTACTAGCAATCTACTTGCCGCAAAACTCATAAAACAGCTCGAATTGGTGCGAGATTTTGTTCCTCTGAGATCGTTGTGTGGAATTCACTAGTGCAATATTCGTCTATGAAGTTTCTATAGCAGTTCAAAGTATCGTTCAGAGGTTGTCGAAGGTTTTGCAACAAAATTGGAATGCTTCGATGAGTGAATTTTATTTCTGTTACGTAATCGACCGATTAATTACTGCTGAAAATCAGTTGTGAGAAAAGTGAACTTGGAATCCATATTGATCGACAACGTGATCAATAATAATTTATGCTAATATGATAACTGCAAAGTGTTCCTTTCTTCCCATATTCCTTAGTTCAATAATTATATCATGATCACTTATTTCAAATCTTTACCGAATCATTCATCCATTCTCACATCAGACAAGCCTTTGCATCAAACATTTTGATTGTATGAACCATGATTTGACAACTGATCGTTCGGCAAACATCATCTTGTAATGAACTTGCTGAACTGTATAAATGAATGATACCAAAAAAGATATAAGAAGGAATGAAGAAAACGTACCGTGTAAGCACTGGTTTTTATAGTTCGTATCGAATTTATCCCAACAAATTTCTGAAGAAGCAAAAATAAGATTTATGAAGCAAATAATGAATAAAATGGTTACAGGACTGGAGGCAGAGCAGTAAATAAACAACGAGTAACAGCAGTAAATTCGCATAAGTGCGGATGTTGTCACATAATATTATTGCAATCACACGATCGATGCTGCCTGAAGCCTGAAGCCTTCTCGATGCTAAATTCGCGTCGGATACTTACAATACTTCGGCTTACTGCTCATTTACATTTATTCCACTGATGTTAGTCACTGTTTCAAATGCAAACTGGACGGATGGAGGAGGGATCTCATCTCTTTTAAGTGAAGGACGGACGATGATGAAGATGACTTTAGGCAAAACGACCAACAACAAAAAAAAAAAACAGATTCTTCGAGGCAATTTTATGGAACATTGAATTCCCTGGAGTCGTCAAGCACACCACGCCCATTCATTCGTACTAATAGCACCTGAACAACTAGCAACGTGAGGGAAGCACCGACCGCTGTTGAGTGCATGTTACCAATTTGCTTCAGTCATGCACACAACCAAAAACCAAAACACCGACGATCTCAAATGAATCAAAGAAACGTGCTAATGAATCAAATAAGCTTTGCTAACATGTCCACTACATCAGATTCTTGCTTGAGCAAATTGGCTCTAATTATCAGGAAACCTATCGTCGTTAGTGCTGACTGGACTCATAGTGGTTCCGAACTCTTGTGAAGTTCCACCAGATATAAGTATGCTTAGAAAGGATTGGAAGTGCATTGTGGCATCCAAAATAAATCAAAAAACTTGACAATTTGGTCGGTCAGAATGACCACCAATCAGTTAGTTTTAGATGAACTCAAGCTACTAGATCATTTCGAGGATTTTAGATCATTTCGATAAATGATTGCTGCAGCTCATCTCTTCAACAGCTGCTCAACAGCTAACTGCTCAACAAAGAGTACCTTTGCCTATTTCAGCTTCAAAATATGATGTTCACGCATTGCTTCTTGTCAGCTATTTATCTTCCAAATTTTCCAATCTTACAAGTTGAAACACTATAAGCAGTTACTTTAAAATTCTTTTCTCAGTTCCTCATGTTTCATAACCTCTCGGGAACATTTTATAGTTTTCACTGTCAACTCGACTGAACAATCGCTCGAAAACTCAGCAGAAAAAACCTGTCACATTCTGCAATTACAAGAAGTTGGTCAGAATTTTTGAGGGAATACTGTATGAAGAAATGCTGATGGTAAAACTTTTTGAGTGAGGCAAATGTCAAAAGAAAGAATTCAAAGCCGGTAAATTGACTGCTGAGCACATAATTCATTTTGAAATTTAACTGCTCCACTGCAATCTCTCGCATAACATCGTTCAGCGAAATTATTTTTCATGTTTATTCGCATATTTCAATTGCTGTCATTTAACTTTTTTTTCGAACAATTCCGTCTCCTCGCGCACACCAAACACATTCAAAAACATTCTCGAATCTATTACTCAGTAAAGCTTTTGTCGTGGTTATTTTTTAAATGTCTCATCGACAATTCGAGTAAATTGCTTGGCTATTCGTCGGGTTTCCCATGTTAGCACTTAAACGATGCGAACAAATTACGTATGGGACCGTCGTTAAACGATTTCTCGAATGTTTTAGTCAGAAATGAATTCACACCAAAAGCTGTTCAGTTTTTTGAAAAGTTTTCATCATCAATTTCTGCGATTTTCTCAGCTCGACGACGACCATTCAACAACCGTCGCTTTTGTTATTATTTGTTCAACATGAAGCAATCGGCCGAATGAATAATGAAAAGACATCGTTTCCGTTGCAAATATGTATTCATGCGTTATTACATCGCCTTTAAGTCATCATGAGTGGCCCTCCCAAATCGCTCGTTTTTTCGATCAACACAGCGGGCGGTAATCATTTTCTTGATGCATTAAAATGGAATTTCAGTTTTATTTTCCTCGACGCATTTTAATAGCTTCAAAATTTTCATTTCATTTCAAATTTTATGCGTTCCACTTTTGAAATGAAACGACACATCGGTTCAAGCTTATCATGGTGGATTTGGTAAAATACCTGGTAGCACAATTGCAAAATCGGTATGAAATGTCAGCGCAGTATGAAATGTGATGAATAAAGAGAAGAAATTCTCATTTGATTTTTTCTCACTGAAATCATTCAATATCCATTCATATTTCTATTTCATTGGTCTATTCATATTCCTTTGAGCAAATATTGACTCTAATCAAATTAGCTTCTAACATAAATTTTATTGCCTGAATTCATATGGCGAAGTAATTCTTTCTTTAGAGAATTTTGCTGACAAAATTAGATTAGCGCCAGCCACTCAGTTCTGCCTCAATACCATTACATAATACTGGAATGTGTTAGGAGTTCAATTTTTATCCGCACTTATGAATGCGTTTAGAGTCTTGAGCATATTCAAGCCCAGGCCTTTGGTTAAATGAATGTCTGCAAGCTTATACGATGCAGACGTGTTTAAAATCACTCGATGAAGTTCTCAGATCACTTGCTAGATACTCTCGAATGGTTTTTTAATGATCTGCCTTGTGGATCGTAATCAAGTGGACGTGATCAGAATTAGTTCATCCAATGAAAACCGATTCCGCATCCTAATCGCTGCTCTGTTCGTGAGTTCGTTCATGAGTTAGTTAATAAATGGTCACTGAGTTAGCCAATCAACGGCCAAAATGATTAGTGCTGGACGACTAACCAGCTCTGGTGAGTGCATTGGTCATTTCGCACATTGTTTCACAGGTGGACAGATCCGAGAAGATATTCCTGGATGTACCCGCACATCCATCATACCAGAACAAACTGCAACGTTTCGTTAGATGATCCAAATAGTAGTGTTCTCGCCAGTTCTCCGCGCCACACTGCTCTTGATAACTGCGATCGAATTTATCCAAGCAAGCCACTGAAAATCAAAACCAACACGTCAACGCTGCGACTGGTTTTAAACCATAAGCTACAAGATTTCATTACTAGCTGTATTCATCCTTCAATATTATATGATTCTTAAGGATTCCCCTAGGTGAGCAAAACACTATTTGCACTCTATGGATCAATGAGTAAAGTAACACGTGATCTCCATATTAATGAGATCAGTTGATCTCAGCAGGATGAGCTCGGATAAATCGATATCAAAAAAATACATTTTTGTCGAATTTTGGTGAATTAATAATACAAATCTGCATCGATTGAAAAACCCATGATCAAATGGTTAATCAAAATTTGATAAGATCAATTTTGATAGCTTTTACTACTGGAAGTGGCGTCGAGAATTGCAAACATTCAATCGCAAGAAGCGTACTCGTTTCCGTAGTGCAATTATAGCCATTTCCAGCAAATCCCGGTAGGCATTCGCAAATAAAAGAGCCTTCAACATTTCGACATTCGGCGTTCTTGTCGCAAACGTGTGGCTCACGGTAGCACTCGTTTACATCTTAAAGAAACAACAGCATATCTTCACTCAACGAAAACCAGTTTAATTTATATAAAGCTCGAATACATATGCAGACAGTGCAATATGAATGATATACTACTATGCTATTTAAAAAACGCTGGTAATTTTAACTCAGCATAGAAAATATGTTATCACACCATTGCGATCGACTTTTCTCATAGCAAAGTATTTCACTTTACTGCATGAATGCGTCTTGTTTTTATAACAAGAGTCCCGAAGACTAGTAAACTTAAGAAGCTTAACAGGCTTCAGTACAACTCCAAATGACTGAAAATTTCGCCATCTGAGAGCATGTTTGACAATCTGTTCGGTCCAACTAGACAAGTCAAACCTGAACAGTTGAAACCATCCCCAACGAATCCTTCTTTACACATACAAATCCCGGACAAGCACGTCGCATCCGGACTACACTCTGTACAATCAATTGTGGAACGTCCTAGAATTGTCATGAATTATTCATTCGTTACAATTGGAAGTGAACTGATGAACTCACAATCAAAGCTGTGCTCACAAGTGAATTGCTTAGAAATACAAACTCATACAAATTATTTCTACTCTCCGAACAACCCGTTCATACTTAGATCACTTCGTACCGAAACATCACCACATACAGTTAAACTAACATAAAATGAAGAAGCTCATGTTCGAACAACGTTATATCTCAAGAAATGTTCGCTAATCACTTCACGGTAATGGAATCAATGTTAAACGTCCTCAGATGTTCATTCTAAGTACGGTATAAAAATTATTAATTGTAAATGCACAACTATTCGATTTCTTATCTTCATCGTGATCAAACATCAAGTAGATGCAGTATGAATCTAAATTATTCAAGAATCCATTATAATTCTAGTTCTGAGTGCTTTTATGTGAGTGTACTATTACTATTATATCATTTCGTCAAAGAAACATCAAAAACCAAATGACTAATATCAAACCCACACTACAATAACATCTTGTGCATGGATATTCAATGTTTATGGCCTAGATGAATTGTTTCGCAACAATGTTTCGAAACAAATAAATCTTTGAGTGGCTCATTTTGAAATATGCCAAAACGATGGTGCATTAATTCACCTAAGCCCACGAAAGTGCAATGTTTGCCGTTGCCTCGATAAGCAGCCTTACATTCGCATTCATATGAACCAATCGTATTTTTGCACCAAGCATTTCGATCACAATTAGCCGTATGCGTACGACATTCATCGATATCTGCAAATGAAACATCAATGATGCGTTTAAACGCGTGTAAACGAAGCACATTCCAGTTGAAATACTCACGAAATGCTATTACTTATTCAGCGCAGTTGCTTGGCTCATGGACAGATAGGTAATCAGCTATTCGATGAGAACAAAACAGCGAATTATGATCCTGTGCTTAGCACGTCAAGTTAGCTCAAACAATTACACTTCAAATAATTTCCAACGTGAATGAAAATTTGCACATACCGATGCATTCACCATGAGCGTTTTTCTCGAAACCGTTCAAGCATTCACAAGTATAATTGTATTTGGAGTGCGATTTGCAGAACGATCGTCGCAGATCACAACGATCACATGCTGAAAGATTAATTTCATGTGAACATCGCCATTCGCTTAATCTCTCGGATTCTGACTGATCCATGAACACTTTTGCTCTGGACATGTTCTTGATATGCTTATTAGGAAATGAATCAAGAAGTTTCGACTGCTTTCTCTCACTCCCTTATAATTTTGGGTTCATTGCAGCAATCGCTGAGTTCCCTATCGAAGAACCCAATCAAATGCACACTTTCGTTGCAAAATAAATTGGACTCCGTCAAGGAAGCATTCCAAAGCTGTGAAGCTGTCAGAAATCACTCGGAATCATAAGCGAAATGAACGATCAGAAAATAAGATTGCGATAGACATCTCGATCGCCTCAACTATATTGACTATCAATATGGATTGTCTATCTAGATGAGTGGTTCACACTGGGATTGAAATTATCCATTTTGGGTAATTTGATTCTACTATTTTCTGAATATCATTAGCTCGTCCCGTCCTAACAGGGTTTTCATTCTTTTCCTTGCTGTTTTAAACGCTCTCATGACTTTTATCACCAAAATTGTTCTCTTCTGCAAATTTCTCATTCATTTCACTCAACAATTAAAGTCAAATTCTCATTCTATCAAATACACTCTATAATTGATCATTTGACTCTCGAACATTGTTGTGCAATAAAATTCGATTGTTGTATTGTTGACTTCGACTGTCAACACTCGTCAACGTATCCAGTAAACAGTGTATGCCACAGAATGAGAAAATGATTCGAGCTGTGAAATGAAACGAGACGAAGTGAATGATAAAAAGTCATGAAGAGAACTGCATTCGCATGTGATAGCGATGAGAGCGAATACAACACGTCTGAAAAGAATGAGAATTCATCTGAATCAGTTCAAAGTGAGCATGTCCCAGACAATAGCTTTTCATGCAATCATAATCGATTGCAACAATGACCAACACAACGTTCAAAGCCAGATCAACAAAATGGGTAATAGAGCACCCGAACGTGAGAACCACTGATCTAGATCAATGACATCACAAATCCCCTTCAATCCAAACGAACAAAAGTGATACCGATTTGAGGCGATAGCCGTTCGCCGCAAACTTTTCTGCATTGATAGAGACTGTAAAAACGGTTATCGTTCCCACCGCAACCGTAATAAAAGAACTTATCACATTCTCCGGTTGCTGCATCAAAGTGGTACCACCATTGGCCCCGTCGGTCATCGTCACAGTGACCTGGATCTGCGTCCAGCAAACACAAATCTGAACGGCAATTTCATATTGGCTCGTCTCAATTAATGATTCGAAGAGGCTGGATACTTTTGTAGCGTTTTCGAATAACACTGATCGAGTGGAAAGATGGATAGATCTCAAAGGAACAAGGAAAGTGATATATGGTGCTAACAGAGGGGTATTTACTTGACTGACCGATTTTTATTATTAATGAGTTGATTGAATGATTTTTGTTTTTACGGAAAGAAGGAACGACTTGATTGAGTCGTTGTTACGAGGGGTCTGTTCCGAGGAAGTTATAAACATAATCCGAATGGAAATCATTTACCGGGTACGGCTACAGGATTATGCATTTTATAGATACACTGTTTCATACACTGCTGTTTAGAGTCGAAACGATTCCGACTGCCCAAACAACCACCATAATGGAACTCTTTACACTCCTCATCCATTTGATCCCAGAACCACTTTATCTACAATATTCAGTGGCTGATGGATGTTCTCGTGACCAGACGAGACGCCAGAAGAGCGCTTTCATTTCAAAACAACAAGGAAAATGCATATCATATGTTTCAGAATAAATTCGTATCTGAACAGAATATGTTCAGATACGAATTTATTTATTCAACATTATGTTCAACATTTTATGGTGATAGGGAAAATTTTTTTTGCAGCTATGCGGTATTTCGAAAGAAATTGTTGTGCATTAAGATTCGGTGATAGTCAAAGCGAATTAAAATTACTTATCGTCTAGGAAAATGAATGGCATTTGAGTGATGTCTAGTTCAGGTCTAGTTCTGTCTTACTGACTACGGATTTGTTTCAAACTGATTCACAAGCCGGCTGCTGATCGCGATCGAATATTTCATCCAAGAAGTGAATAATGATTTGCTTATTTCTTAAAGAAATGATAGATCAAAAAGAACAGAACGGATCAATGAACTGACCTGATAGTATTGGCAAGGTCCCGGATCAAGCGGTTCCATACAGCGGTCTTCCTCTGAAACATGGAAACCACGGCATTGTTTATGACAATGAAAGCCCTAACAATATTTATTATGTTCATAAAATGACAGTAATAATAACAGGATCAATGACAATAATACTAATGATTGTCACTAAGATTAAAACAGTAAAAATATCAACGAAAGTAAAAACAACGGTAATAGAATTAGCATTGAGGAGAGCGACTTACCAGCTGATATTGAGATCACAAAAATTTCCAGAATAAGTAAAAATGGCTGAAAATTGCTGGAGGTGAACGGCGACGATAACATGAGTGCGTGAATCGTCTGAATGGTGAAACAGAAGTGGAGAAAAGCTGCGATTCTGATCGAGTGCTTGTATTGGTGTGGATGAGCAATGAGGCTGATAGCAACAACAGGGATAAGAGTAATAATAATGATAATGATAGTGATGAAGATAAAAGTGTGCAAATACATTCAAGGAATGCGTTGTTGATCTATCATTGAGAATAACATGCATTTGTGATGAGATGAACGAATCGAAACTGACGAATAAATTAATGTCGCGATGAATTCAATGGCTATATACTGGCTATCCGATGTGGCATTTGTTTTCATGGTAGATATGGCAGAATGTATGGGATAAGATCCATTGAAGAGTTGATAATGGTATCACTGAATCTATCGTTTCATGTAACTCAAATATTTATTACGTTCATTCTCCGTGCTCATCAGCAGTTGTTTAGGAATTCATTGAAGTATTCCTTATTGAAGAGTTTATTGGAGTGGTATAAAGAGAGAAAATGCATTCAATTAATTTATTATCATTATCGTGGACAGCAATATCTGTCTTATATCATCTCACATAAACAAATATCATTGGTTGAGGACTTTTCGGTGTGATTTCTCGGCGTTTTGCTGAGCGTCTCATTGCGCATATTCCTGAAATCTTTTCGAGGACTACTTTGAATCTGCTGATTTAACCCATGAAAAGAGTTCATTGTGCTTTACGACAATTAAAAAAATGAAATAACATCGGCCTTCTTTAAAAAATGAAATAACACCAAGCCTTCTCGTAAAGTGCGTAAACGAGAACATCGGAAGCGGTAATAACAAGATGCGTAGGCCTTTAAAAATGGAATTCTGATTTGACACAATATTTCTTCGTCCAAAAACTATTATCAATGGGAAGTGGGTGGCTGACTTCCTTGGAAATAAACACTTTTGCAATAAACCAAGTGGTACATCTATGAAATTGAGTCGAACGATACAACAATGTTCTTAGATTGCGAAAGATTCTGATCTATTCAAACAACATTGAAACATTGTCATGAAAGGCTACAGCTTAAGTCAGTTCAAATAAGTGATCTGTCGCCAATCTCCTTCGAATTAACCTCAATGTTGCCAACATTCTTAATACCTAATCAGTTTTGGCCAAGCATATTCTTCATCACAGTGCTCCATTACCCCTACGATTGTCTGGCAGCCCGTCATTACCCCGTCTCCCACGATAATAATGAAGGAATTTCGTGATCCCCTCCATTACCCTCTGACACCCTCAAATTACCCAAAAATAGGTAATTCTTCCCCTTTCCCCTATGGGCACCTTTGGTCTAGCATAACTTCATTGTTCCATTTGTTTCTCGTTAATTAAAACGATTGCAACTATTGCAATGAAAACTGATCAACTTTGAGTGATCAAATTTTAGAGCAAAACAGTATATTCGATCAAGCAAAAACACTCGTAAACAAGGACAGACAATACTGATACAATGGCGTTATCAATGACTTTAATGATTCAAATTACGGTATATAAAAGAGTTTCGATATTATCAATTCATAAATGAACAATAAAAACATTTTAACATTAATTTCACAAGTTTCTAGTGAAATCACAATTCCAAACAGCCAGCAACTGAACTCCTCATATGATTCAAAAGTGCGTCTTGGGTGAACGCTGTCAAAGTTTACAATCAGCGCAGTTTCAGTTGTTGGCTGCTGGTCCCATGAGCACTATATGCAGCAACTAAATGGATAAGTAAGACAGATGTTTTTCAATAAAATAAATCGCTACACAATCCAGTTGACTTGTTCATTGTTTGTGCTGCTGAGTGCAAGCAGTAGTCATGCACTGACTGCTGCTCCCTCTCTTGATAATGATAGCATGATGCTGACTAATTATAGCATGAGTTAAGAATTATGCACACCAGTCTTCTTGATCGTTGTTCGTCGTCACTTCCGTCAACATGCGTAGCGTGATTCAGTACGAACATTATTCCATGGACGCATGAATAATTGGATAGCACTATCGACGATAAAAAGAACATATTCATTCACATTCCTTGCATGAGATTGAATTAGTTTTTTTTTATTTCAAGAGAAAACAATAATTATGGTGAATCAATGCTCGCTAGTATGTCTGTCCGGATTCGAGAACAAGTCAAGGATGTCGTATTGGAAATACATTAAGCATGGAATCAACACGAAATAATGCGTTAGTGATATGATTAGAATGTCAATATGATTATGATGGTAATGTGATCAGATCAGTTAATGGCACTGTTATACGCCATTTATCATATTGAGTCCAGCAAAATATTCGTTATAGGCTCTCAAAGCTAATCATCTTTCAGCAATATCTATTCCCAATAACAATTAAATGGAACTATTTGTCAGCAATAATTTAGCAATTATTTATTTCTTCAATCCCTCAAGGATAATGCTCACTAATGTCATTGTGCACATCACATCCAGTGGGATATTCTGCTTTGAGGAAAACTCCAGTACGACATGCCTGTTTGGATACATGTTTAAACTCTTCAGAATCAACGTTCATCCCTTATCTCACTTACCTTATAATATATAAATGTGTCTCACGATCACTCAAACGGAATGTTGTCAATCAGAGAGAATTTCATGAAAATAATTACTTCTCAACTGGATCCATTCAAAATGCCAATTTCCTTAAAATTATATACCTTTGACTAGTTTTTTTCCTCAATTGTGCTTCCACCTGAGGCAAAATCACATTACGTCTTATGATGCAGTAGAGCAGAGCATAAAAACAGGTGGCTAAACAAGAGAAACAAGAGGCATGCAAGTGAGTGAGTACTCAAAAAAAAATCAAAATTGCTTCGAACATCATTCAAATAGGCAATACTACCGAACTGCTCGGGTTTGCCAACATATTCCATCACACAAAAGGAACATATGCACAGCGATTCCAACACATGAAGAAACTTCAAAAAAATGATGTTATGAAATTATTAAGTTGTTCACGCTCATACAAAATCATATTAATTGTTACGAAGAAGAAGGCATTTGACTAAGAGGCTGAGGAAGGCGTTTGAGGGCACTTATGACCATAAAAGTCCTTTCTTAGAGCAGAACTAATCAGATGCTTATCCTCGGGCTAATCCTCGGGCGATAAAGGATCTGCATCGAGATCAAATNTTACGTCTTATGATGCAGTAGAGCAGAGCATAAAAACACAACAAACAGGTGGCTAAACAAGAGAAACAAGAGGCATGCAAGTGAGTGANAATCCTCGGGCGATAAAGGATCTGCATCGAGATCAAATGTGTACATTTTGGTGGTTTGATGATATCGTTGAGTTTTAGGACATATTTTTCACGTTTTATCTTATATCTGAGCAACTCTACTTTATTCATCAACAAAATGGACACTTTTCTCATGGAGCAAGCCTAAGGCTAATCTTCTTCTAGCTCAGAGACTGTTTTGTTGTATCAAATCAATTGCTATGTTCTTATCGATAAGTTTCGATTGCATGATTGGTTGAATTCAACAATTTATGTTTGGACAGCATCTCAAGTTCTTCTAACCTTATCAGTTGTATGTTCTGATGCAAGTTGCGTAAACAAGGCATACTCAGATTGTTTTAAAGCAATTTTGTGTAAGATCTGAACAAGATCTGAACACTTAAAACAGTTGTGCTTGGATTTGCGATGTGAACCGTACAATGTTTCGAAACAAATACAGAAACGCAGTGCCAGTTAAGTGCAATGATAACTTAGCGATTAAGCGATTAAGTTGCATTTTATTGATCGTCTAGCTGCTTTATTCATCAGTTTATTGATGTTGTTCGAACATATCAGTCGATATCAGCGTGAGGTTTTCTCTTAACATTTGTTTTCGATTTCTTGATTTCTCATTCAAGCTTTTGATGCCATTTGCTCAGTAAATTTTGATTCATCACCATACAAGGTTTACGATCTCTTTTGTGTATAATTTTATCACACATGTGTCTTTATTTTGGCTATGTACTCTTCAAGTTGCAAACAACTTTGTTTGTTGGAAGATGACGTTATTTCAAGGTCACTTTATCTTGTAAGAAATCTTATCTCGTTTAGAATCTATTTATTTTTTGCTCAAAAAACGATCGGCCACTTCACAAGTCAGCAGAACAATTACTCACGATCACTAACGTACTAAAATACGTTCCGTCTCCCAACTTATTGAAACCATTGCTATGAAATTCATTTATCTTTTTACCGAATTGCATAATAACTGAATACAAATTGATATTTTATGCTCGTTATTTGCATTTCTCAGTCATTAA